ACGTTGGTGAGGTGTCCCACGCCCCCCTCAGCCGAAGCGACGGCACTTGGAGGCCATCACCTTCACCGACAAGGACATCCCCTTCGGCCCCTTGCCTCACAGGGACGCCCTCGTCGTCAAATGCGAGATCGGCAACAACATCATCCACCGCAACTACATCGACACTGGCAGCTCTGTCAATGTGATGTACGTTGACACCTTCAGACAGCTGAAACTGAAGAAGACCGAGCTCCAGCCGATACGGACTCCGTTATCCGGCTTCACCGGGGACTCTATCGACGCCGAGGGCACGATAGTGCTTCCCGTTGAGGTCGGTGACGGAACCTATAAGGCGAAGATTGATATGGAGTTCGTGGTTGTCAATCTGGACAGCGCCCACACCATGATCTGGGGACGACCGGCCTTGGAGGACCTTGAGGCCATCATCTCCATGAAACATCTATGCCTCAAGTTCCCCACCAAGGACGGCGTCGGCTACGCCAGAGGGAACCAGAAGATAGCCAGGGCTTGCTACCTGAAGCTCACAAGGAAGATCAATGAGGCCGAGGAGCGGATAGACACCATCACCACCGCCTCGGCCGAAGAAGACACACCAAAGGCAGAACCGGTCGGAGATGTGGAAGATGTTCCGTTGGACGTCTCCCGGCCGGAACGCTCGCTGAAGATTGGGACCCAGCTCCCCCAAGATACCCGAAGGGCCATACTCTCCGTCCTGAGAGCGTACGCCGTCGTCTTCGCATGGGGACCAGAGGACATGCCGGGCATCAGCCCAAAGGTAATCACACATCGGCTATCGGTGAACCCGGCCTCCTCCCCCATCAAACAGAAGAAACGCTACCTCTCCGCTGACAGGAGGGAATTCGTCAAAACCGAGGTGGCCATGCTGCTCTCCATCAAACACATAAAAGAGGTGAAGTACCCCACGTGGTGGGCGAACGTCGTCCTCGCCCCAAAGCCGCCTACGTTCAGAATGTGTGTTGATTACACTGACCTGAACAAGGCATGTCCAATGGATCCATTCCCTCTCCCCAACATTGATCAGTTGGTGGACGAGACGGCGGGGTGCGAGTTGATGTCGTTCCTCGACGCGTTCAGAGGGTACCACCAGATATCCATGCATGAAGATGACGCGGAGAAGACTGCTTTCATGACCCCGGAGGGAATTTTTTGCTACCTCGTCATGGCCTTTGGGCTCAAAAACTCCGGCGCCACCTACACAAGGATGGTAGCCCGGATTTTTAGAGCAGTCTTAGGTCGGACGATGGAAGCATACGTCGACGATATGATCGTCAAGAGCAAACAATCCACAACCCATGCCGACGACCTCCGGGGCATCTTTGAGATCATGAAGAGATACAACCTCCGGCTCAACCCAAAGAAGTGCACCTTCGGCGTCCAGGGAGGTAAATTCCTGGGGTACCTGGTCAGTCGAAGGGGCATCGAGGTGAACCCGGAGAAAATACAAGCCATCATCAATATGGAGCCACCCCGCAACATCAAAGAAGTACAACGGCTGACGGGACGCCTTGCGGCCCTGAACCGTTTCCTTTCAAAATCCGCGGAGAAGTCGCTCCCTTTCTTCCAAATAATGAGAAAGGCCACTAGCTTCAAATGGACGACGGAGTGCCAACAAGCCTTTGACGAACTGAAGCAATATCTCGCCTCCCCACCCGTCCTATCCAAGCCCCAACCCGGCGAGACTCTCTTCCTTTACTTAGGAGTGAGCACGTCGGCCGTCAGCTCCGTACTCATCAGGGAGGATGACGGGGTACAGAAAGCAATATTCTACGTCAGCAAGACGTTGCGGGAGGCCGAGCTCAGGTACTCCCCCATTGAGAAGACGGTGCTGGCCATCGTCCACACGGTGAAAAAACTTGGACACTACTTCCAGGCTCACCCCGTCCACGTCCTCACGCATCAGCCATTGGGCGCCCTCATGAGGAGCCCAACCAGCTCCCCAAGGATGATCAAGTGGGCAATATTCTTGAGCCAGTACCAGATTGAGATCAAGCCGAGGCCATCCATCAAAGGGCAAGCCTTAGCTGACTTCGTCACCGAGTGCACGGCAAGGGAAACAGCCGTTACCACCACAGGAGCTGAACCGGACGAAGCCTGGACCCTCTACACGGACGGGTCCTCGGCCACCAAAGCTTGTGGGGGTGGCGTCGTCCTCATATCCCTGGAAGGTTTCAGAGCATACTATGCCATACGCTTCAATTTCAAGGTATCCAACAATGAGGCTGAGTATGAAGCGCTCCTCAGCGGACTCAGACTAGCCGCTGGCCTTAAAGCACGCCACGTCAGAATCAAATGCGACTCCAAACTCGTAGTGAGCCAGATGGAGGGTTCCTACGAGACCAAAGAGGGGAGAATGAAGCAATACAAGGAGGCCGTTGCGGAATTGCTCAAGGCGTTCGATACCTACGAGATCACTCAGATCCCAAGGGCGGAGAACGCCGAGGCCGACATACTCTCCAAACTGAGCTCCGACACCCCTGAGCACATCTCCAAGATAGCGAAGGTGGAGGAGTTGAGCATGTCAAGCATTCATGCTAGCCCTATACTTTCCATCCAACACCAGCCGGAGGATTGGATCACTGACATCGCAGCCTACATCACCTCCGGCACACTACCCGAAGACGAGGAGAGAGCCAAACTCGCCAAACTTAGGGCGCCAAGCTACGTCATTGAGGGTGACAAGCTTTACAAGAGATCATACAATGGCACCCTCCTCCGGTGTCTACACCAGAATGAGGCCGAAGTGGCCATGGAAGAAGTCCACTGCGGCGTCTGTTCATCACATCAGGGGCCCTTCAGCATGTCGCGCCGCCTCGTCGTCCAAGGCTACTTCTGGCCGACGATGGCGCGCGATTATGCTGAGGTCGCCCGCAAATGCAGCGCATGCCAACACTATCAAAGAGCACCTGGCCGACCGGCCGTCAACTACGCCCCGGTCAGCACTGCCATCCCATTCTCCAGATGGGGCATCGACCTCGTCGGCCCACTACCAAGAGCAGCGGGCAACAACAGATACATCATCGTCGCCATCGACTACTTCACCAAATGGGTCGAAACCGAACCACTCGCAAGCATCACCGGAGCACGGTGTCGAAAGTTCGTCTACAAGAACATTCTCACCCGCTTCGGCGTGCCTCAGGAAATCATATCAGACAACGGCACTCAGTTTGAGGCCGAACCGTTCCAAAGCCTCCTCCAAGAATGGGGTATCAAGCACCGTTTCTCCTCCGTCGCCTACCCTCAGGCCAACGGGCAAGTTGAGAACGCCAACAGGACCATCTTGGAGGGGCTAAAGAAGAAGCTCGAAGAAGAAGGCGGAAGTTGGGTCGACGAGCTCCCCAACGTCCTATGGTCCTACCGCACTACGCCGAGGAGGGCCACCGGGGAGACACCATTCTCCTTGTGCTACGGCTTCGAAGCCAAGGCTCCCACTGAGGTGACGCTTCCCAGCCGACGGGTCACACAATACGATCCCGAGGCCAATGAAGAAACAATGAAGGTGGACCTACACCTCATCGACGAGAGACGAGAAATGGCCTACCTCAGAGCGGAGAACTACAGACGACAAGTCAAATCCTACTACGACGCCAAGGTCCGCTCTCGCGAATTCCAGGTGGGGGACTACGTCCTCCGCCGAAGGGAAGCAAGCAAGCCGACGGAAGGAGGAAAGCTCGCCGTCAAATATGAAGGGCCCTACATCATCAGCGCCGTCGTCAAAGCCGGCACTTATAGACTAAAGAACCCCAATGGGTCAGATGTACCACGATTGTGGAATGTACACCACCTGGTGAAATTTTACTAATGACTCGAGAAGTGGTGAAGCGGGCAAAGTCCCCCACCCCTCGGCTTATTGGTTGAATAAAACACCCTCGGCCTAGCGCCACTTATTGAATAAAACTCATGTTCCATCCAATCTTTTAAGATTTGAGCTAAGGGAAACCTAAGGACCGCATCGGCCTAAGCGGTGCAAACACCCAGGACCGATGCGACCTAAAGCCGTCGCAATAAACGACGCACCCCAAAGCCGTTGCAATAAACAACGCACCTAAAGCCGTCGCAATAAACGACGCACCTAAAGCCGTCGCAATAAACGACGCACCCAAAGCCGTTGCAATAAACAACGCACCTAAAGCCGTCACAATAAACGACGCACCTAAGGCCGTTGCGATCCACAACGCGCCTACAAAGCCGTTGCATAGACAACGCACCTAAATATCGTATCGGCACAAGCGGTGAAACACACAAATCGGCCGGCGATATGCAGGACGAAGGACCTGTGTGCATGGTCCAACGTCTTCAAAACGGAGAAGCATACCGCGTCGTCCGCGCGGAAACCGCAGGACGACAGGCCTGAATTAAGGCTGAGGTTACAAAAACTCCACCCGTCAGTAAAATTTCGCTCAGGACCACAAAGGGCGGCCGTCAAAAGACGATGCCTAGCCCGGTCCCTCGTCGACGATAGACGTGGAAAGGCCAAAAAAGATGCCACTGACACACCAAGCCGAGGGCGTATTTACTCCCTCGCACTAATTCACGCGAAAAGCGTAGCGGACAAACTACCGCACATGGTCGAAGGGACAGTAACCCTTCGGCCACCTAAAAAAAAAAGAAGAGGGAAGCCGACGGACCGCGCACCTGCCGGCCTCAAGCACAAAACAAAATCCCCACAAAAAACCAAGCCTCAAATCGGCTAAGTACATATCAGATCTTCACTATACAGGAATCCGAAGCGCACGCTTCGGCCTCAACCACAGCTTCATAAGAGGAAATCACTTCGGTTTCAAAAAAAAAAAAACAACCACATTCCATTACTTGGACGATGGGGCGCATCGTCTTCACGTAACGAAACCCATATCAAAGGAAGTTTGACACTTGGAGAATTTTCTAAGTCATACTCAAAGGAAGCCGAGGCGCTACCTAGCCATATCTAGGTATCGCTTCGTCCTCAACAAACCAAAACGAAAGCGGCACACCAAGGATTGACGAGGTACAGCGTCCCCGGTGATAACAAATGGAAAGAGGACCGCTACGTCTTAGTGGACGGATGTCACAAGATAAACTCTTGGCACTTAGAAAGATTTCAGAACTTTGGGGCCTTACCTTACCTAAGACGCAAGAGACGTGGCGCCGCGCCAAGAAAAAGTTTCAACACTTGGTAAATTTTTGAAACACATGTTCTAAACACAACAGTTCCGACGAAGGGACGCACCGCCCCTAACATCAGAGGCAGGGAACGCGCGCTACGTCCTCATATACATACCAGTAAGGTGAGGGTGCCCCCACATCAACACAAAGGAAACGATGGAACGCATCGTCCCAGACTTGGCAAATTCGCCAAAGTAAAAACTTGCGAAGCAATGTCGCTCAGACGACGCGACACCACCAAACCAAACACCAAACATAAAAGAGAAAACGAAGCGAGGAACAAACATCTATAGTTGGACAAAAAGAGATCTTAATTGATGATTCAAAACATACAAGGAGGGCGCTTCAGCCGTTACAATCATCAGGGCGCTTCGGCCATTAAGACTGCTATTACAAATGAAAAAAGAAAACTAAGTACAAGGAAACACTAAACAGCTTGTCCTTGGCCACCCTCAACGGCTCCGCTGTCCGCATCGTCCTGCTCATCCTCGGTATTCTTGGACTTGGCCGAGCTCCGAAAAAGGTAGTCATCACTCTCGGTCCAGGGCTCGTCCTCTTCATCCGAGCTCAGGATGGGGGGCTGCCTTTCGGACTGAGGAAGCTTCAACTCCTCCTCGGGGTCCTTCATCATCCGGGGAAGGCCGATACCCCTAGGCTTCAAGTTTTTCACACGCCGGCGGAGACGGCGGTAGACCAACATTTGCATGCGCCTCTGGCCGAGGTCGTACCAGACTTCAAACTCCTCTTTCAGGCGGGCTCGGCCAGCTTCCTCCTGAGACCACGCTTCGAAGCGCTCCGCCACGACCTTAAAACTCCAGTCGCGCCGGGTCTCGTCCTTCCACCCTTCGGCCATGAAGAGCTCCACGGCTCTGTCAGCAGCCGCAGCCGCATCAGCTTCTACCTTCACGGCCCTTTCCTCCGCCAGCCGACGGGCGGCCGCTTCTTCATCAAGCTGAATTTTGAGGCGCTTCGCCTCGTCCTCAGCAACAATGGCCCTCTTCTCGGCCGCATCAGCTCTCTCCTTCAAGGAGCCAGTTTCAGACCGAAGCCGCTCCAACTGGGAGAGCGCCTCGTCTGCAGAGGCGGCTTTCTTCTCAGCCTCCCGAAGGCGAGCAAGCTCCTCGTCCTGCCGCCGCTGCTGCTCCATCAGCATAAAGGCTCCCTGAAAAAGACAATTGTCAGAAGAGGAAAAAATATAAAAAATTACTAAGCACCAAATCAGAAATTTACCTGGACGACGTAGTCCAGTCCTCCATCGAAGAGACGCACATCCTTGCTCTGCCGACGTAGGTACTCCCTATCGGCATCGGGAATGGCCTGGAAAAGGACGTCGTGCCCAGAAACCTTCTCGTTGAACAAGCCGCCCTTCGGCGGATACCGCACCGTCACCTCGTAGAGGCCGGAGGTCAAGTCTCGATCGGCGCGGGCACTCTTTTTTATAGCAGCAGCTGATTTGGTGGGAACAAGGGCGGACGAGGCGACATCCAAGGTCAGATCTTCAACGATCTGCACATCAGAGACAGCTCCCCCTTGAACCGATGCCTGCGCATCGGCCATAACAGCATCTTTAAGGGGAGGGCTCGGCTTCGTCTTCTTAGCACCTTGAGCCGGCACCAACCCCGCCTCCGTCAAGGTCTGTTGCCCCTCGGCGGACCTTTTCTTCTTGGTCGCAACAGCCTTCTTCACCGCATCGGCCTGAGACTTAGAGCCATCACCGGACCCCTTGGACGCGTCGGCTCGCTGGGCAGCCTCCAGCTCCTTTGCAACCTGCTTCTTGGCCTGGGCCATGAACATTTTGCGACTCATCTCGTAACCTGCAAGGACGACACCACAAGAAAGGATTAGACACAAAGAAATACTAAGTACAAAGAGATTCAAAGGCAAGTGTCAACCTTCGGCCTCGGCCGGAATCCCAAGAAGTGGCCCATCGGCCTGTTCAAAAGAGCCAGAGATCCTCGGCCACAATCCACAATCCGGGTCGCCAGGAATGTAATACCGCATCATCCCGAGAGCCGCAATCTTGAACTCAGTGATGTACGTGTTCACACTCCTCGGCCCACCTTTTAGGAATGCCTCAACTTGGGCATCAAGCTCAGCGCTTCGCGGCGGATTATGCAGGCTAAAATTACCATTATGCCCTTGCGAAGGAAAGAAAACCCCATCGGCCAACTTCACGAATACAAACTTCGCCTTCCACCCATGGATAGACGAAAGGAGGTCTTTGAAAGATTTCTTCTCCGGGAGTTGCTGAAGCGTAGCATAACCAGCACAATTCTTGTGGCTCCCTCGGCCGATGCGGAACAAATTTGTAAAAAGGGCCGTCGTGGGCTCAAAACCCAGCTCGTCGCATCGGATGAGGAACCCAACGATCAGTGAGAAACTATTCGGCGTCAACAGCGCCGGAGGGAGATCTACCATCCTCAAGTACTCAATCACAAAAGGGGGCAGCGGAAATCGTAGTCCTTGCGAGAACCCCATCGGATAAACCCCGAAGTACCCAGGAGGAGGATCCAGAACATGGTCCGTCGGCCTAGGCTCCCTCACCTTTCCATAAGGCCCAACATACAACTGAGCCAAATGATAATCACCTCGGGTGCTCTCGGGCCTTATAACATACAGATTTGTCAAGTCCAACTGGGACAACCCGCCAGCCGCAGCTTTTCTCCGACGCGACGCGCGTTTCTTGATAACCCTAGGAGACGACGCCCCACCTGGCACAGACGAAATAGGTGGAGGGCAGGGGATGGCAGCCGAAGAGGCATCACCCGCTTCGTCTCCCCGAAGCTTGGGTTCCGAGCTCGCCTCGTCCTCGCCCGATTGTTGGGAACCCGCATCATCATTCAGACGCTCCTCGTCCTGAGAAGTGCGGTAATCGGCAGTATTCTCCATCTCTGTTTCAAACGCTCGAACTATCTCAAGATTCACTCCAGGAGACGGGTCCTCGTCGTCAAAAGGCCAGTCCGACTCGTCTAAAGAAGCTGTTAAGTTAAGAGGGGAGGGGACGCTACGGCCGTCAGGGAACGGCATAACAACTATGCTACGTCCTAAGGGTTGTTCGAGGATCAAAGTGATTTTTCCTAGAAACACTAGATCTAACTGTTGGTCCCGTTTAATATGGTAACCAGTCTAGAGGGGGGGGGGTGAATAGACTGGTTGGTTTTTCAAATTTTCTCTAAGTCAAAAGTGACTTATCAGAGAAGGTCTGATTCTGATGACAGAGATAGGCTGGTTCTGATATCAGAACTGGCCTTGGCAGCGGATTCTGATCTGTCCGGGTAGCCTCAGAAACACTAAGGCAAATGCCTTTCTGATAGCTCTTAAAACAAGATCTGCTGAACACAGATTCCAAGTCTTAGAGTTAATCAGTTAATATCCTAAGTGCAGAAATGAAAATTGCAGTAAAGTAAATGACACCGGATATTTTATAGTGGTTCAAGGAACAACTCGTTCCTCTAGTCCACTGTTCCACTAGCTTTGAAGTAGATCAGTTACAAAGCTAATTCCTAGCACTTAAGAAGCACTCCTCGTCTTCTTCAAGCCTAGATGCCACCCAGGATGCAATTCCACGTCCTGATGGCTGGTCCTTTCACTCAGCTTCCCGGAAGTATCACCACTTCACTACTGCAGTTACTTGGACGCCCTTCTTTTCAGAAGATGTTCTGAAAACAGAGTTTTCTCCAACTTGCTTCGTTACAAGAGATATGTAGTTGAAGTTCTTGAAGTGTTGAAGAGCAGGATGAACTTTGCTCTTGTTGGGGATAAGAGATTGTGAGATTGAATCTTCCCAACGTAAGCTTTTTCTTGTTTTTGTGTTGTGGAGTTTGAATCTCAAGAAAGCTTGAAACTTTGTTGAGCAAAAGTTGTAGCAAAGTTGTGTCCCTGTTCTTCGGTGAGTAGCTTATATACTGGGGTTGTCTGCCCGTTGGAGGAGGAGACAACTGCATTAAATGCGCGTACAGTTGACTTGACCGCCGTTTTGGAAGGTTTCTATTTTTATAATATATCTTCCCGGATTCTTTGGTCAATCATTTGCAATCAATCCTTCAGCGTATCAGGCTCATTTAATGTGCATTAAATGCTTTCCTTTCATGCACAGTCTTCTAGCCGTTGGATGTTTTACCCGTTGAATTCATAGCTGTTGGATGTTGCTTGAAATCTTCTAAGTGTTAGTCGGGCTCTGATCAGGCTCTTCTGATGAGTTGAGTTCTGATGGCTTTCTGATCTTGGATAGAGTTCTAACTCTGACTCTGATATGTCCGCTGATGAGTACCTTTGATTTGTAGTTCTCATCGGTTATCAGATGTCCAAGTTTCTCAGCAACTCTCATGGTGCAACTTTGATGGACTTCTGCTAAGAGAACTCTGATGGAGCAGTTCTCATAGAGCAAGTCTGGTCGAGCAGTTCTGATGCACTTCTGATCTGGTCCAAAATAGAGCAACTCTGATCGTCGACTACACTAATACTTACAATTGAAAATTCTAATACATAAAATCGAATTTGGGGGTACTTTAAAATTCTAATCCTATAGCATCATCAAAATCTAAATACATTTATTCCTTACAATTTCCCCCTTTTTGATGATGCCAAAACCCTTAAACTATCTCCAGAGAAGTGCCTTTCACCATAAAGAAAATAAGAAAAAAAGAAAAACTTCCATTTAAAATCTTGGTGGGCACTTGGCATAGGAGAATAGTAAGAGTAAGATACAACCAATCAGATAAATAAGATAAGAAATAGCACACGATATCAGAGCATAAATAATCAGAATGCAATAATTTGAAGTTGCCATGCAAAATAGAGGCAAGCAGGTTATCTTATTAATGAAAGATATTTAAAGCAACAAGAGGATAGAGTTTAGATATCTTCCTCTTCTAGTTGAGCTTCCTTTGCCTCAATTTCCTTCAGATCAGCATTGACCCTAGCTCTGATTGTAGCAAGATTCCTGGGATTCTGATATTCTGACCAGGCAGGTTCAAGCTGGCAATCTAGATAGTTTCTGATGGCTTCAGATAGGTCCTTGCCAGGGATCACTTTCAATCGCCACCAGTCTTCTGCTTCTTGCATAGACCCACCATGGTTAATTATTATTAGCCCATCTTTATCCAGAATGAGATTCTCTTGTTGAGTAGGGGTCATATGCTTCTTCATCTCTCTGAATTGAGCAGCATCAGGTGTAGCTAAGTCACTGTTAAGCCATTGATCTAAAGTAAAAGTGGAGCCTGTCTTCTTTCCTTTCTTAGAGCGAGGAGGAGGAGTTGGTCTTTGAATACTAGCAGCAATCTGCTTCTGTCTGGTTCTCTCAAAGTATATAGCGGAATCAGGGGTACCAGAGATGGGAGTCAGAGCTCTGGCGCTTGATCCTTCTGCAGTTCTGATAGCTATTGCAGAATCTCTGGTATCTTCCCCCTTTTTGGCATCAGCAAGATCACCAAGGAGGAGTTCAATCTTTGAGAATTCGGTGGCCTGATTCTCCTTAATAACTTCAAGGGCACTTGGCAGAGTCTGAGTTACGGAGGCCAGACCTTCAATAAGCTCCTTCTGTTTATCTACAGCACTCTGAATATCTTTGGTAGTAGCTTCAAGGAGAGTCAGCTTGTGATCTCTGTCCTTTCCACTATTGATCAATTTGATTACAAACTCTTTGTTGTCTTTGCACAATCCTTCAACATCTTGCAGAAGTTCTGTATTTTTGTCATGAGACCACTGAAGATCACTTACCGCATCAGAGATATTCGTAATAGCCTTGTCTTGCTCTTCAAGGGCCTTTGTGTGATGAAATAATACGGCAGAGATTCCATCCACCTCCTTGGCAATGTTGCTCAGATTCTCTGTAGTTTTGTCCTTGTGGACCTCAAAAGCTGTGGCAATGATGCCTACATGCTTTAGCAGCATATTGATGCCGTTGGTGAGATGGTCACTGACTCTGGTGAGATGAGCATCAGTCTCATACTCAGCATCCAGGAGCTTTTCCATTCCTTTGGCAATTTGGTTCCCAGCCTGCTCTATGTCTGTCATGAAGTGTTGAAATGGAGCAGAGCCGGTGACAAGAGTTTGTACTGGCATTTTTGCAGGAGAAGATGATTGCTGTGTAGGAGCTGGTGGAGAGTTCTGATGATTGGGTTGCTGATGAGGAGAAGTCTGATGAGAGTTAGGGGATTTCAGATGTTGTGGAGCAGGAGGAGGTGAAGGAGATCGGTTTCTGATGGGTGTAAGGGATTTGCAGGGTGAAGGTTGTTTGGGTGAGGGCTTCTTGGGTGAAGGGGTTGGGGTTCTGTGAGGAGAGGGGGATTTCTGATGGATTGGAGGTGAGGTTTTCTTGGGTGATGGAGTGGGTGAGTGTGATGGAGGAGGTGAGATATGGGGCTCTGGTGTAATTTGAAGAGGGGGAGAAGGAGAGTTAGGGATTACCTCAATAACAGTTTCTGCAGATTTTGAGTCTCTCCATTCTCTGATTAGATCCATCATTGTCAGAGCTTGATTATTTACAGTAGATGGCTCACCTTCTTCACCAGGGATAGGTTTCATCTTGATCATTGATTCTTGTCTCTTCTTCTCCATCAACCAGTCATCAAAGCTAGGAATCTCATGCTCAGCTAGAGGTTTAACATGATCCTCTGGTGAGCTGGATATCAGAATAGCCTTGCCTTTGCAGTTGGCTTTCTTCTTTTCTAGAATAGCTTCTAGAAATTCAATGTCAAAGCATTGTGAGACATCATCTGTTCCCACCCACTTGAGGACTTCAACTTCCTCAGCTTCATAGTAGGGGAAGAATTGAAGAATCTTCTGAAGGGGACCCATTCTCCACTCTCTCCAGGCTAGCACACGCTCAAACTGTCTGTCCAGAGCAGCATGAAATTCTGATGTAGTGTCCTTGATTGGAGATGCTTGATGGTCTGTAGGTAGGTCCATCAGAGGCAAGTCTGGTAAAGATTCCGGCTCAGGTTCCCCCTGAGTTTCTGACTTCTGAGGAGAAGATCTTTCTTTCTTCTTCTTCTTTGCTCTAGTTTGAGAGGAAGATTCATCAGAGTCACTTCTGATAACAGTTCTTCGTCTCCTCTTTTGCTTTTTCAGAGGTGAGACTTTAGGAGCCAAGTCTGATGCCTCCTTGTCTGATGCATCCTCCTCTGATGCAATCTTCTCAGAAGAGGCAATCTTAGACCTTGGACTGATCTTCTTCGTTGGAGTGTGAACAGGCTTTGCCTTAGGCTGTTCAGAGGTAGTTACAGCCTTCGTAGTGATCTTCTTGGGTGCAGCTTTGGGTTTTTCAACCACTTTCTCCCTGTTCTGCTCATGCTTGCTAGATTTCTTTAGCTCTGCAGCAATTGCCACATGCAGTTTAGGAGATGCAGTGAGGAAGATTGTCTTCATGTGATTGGCTGGAGCAGATCCACGGAGTGCAATCTGGGCGTTGGTGATGAGCCTGGAGATGAGAAGTCCATGGCCCATCTTAGT